GAAGCTCATTTTTCAACCTTTTTATTGCTGCTCATGTGCCTGCGATGGAAGCCTCTATAGTAGCACAGGGCTTTAGGGCAAGCCTCCCTCAATGCCTTTCTCTTCTATTATAAGTCCATCTCAGAGTTAATCATTTCCTCCAAGGAGGTGATGCTGTAATAAAGATAATTAAATTGAAATTTAATATAGTGGGGCACTGCACTATAGCTTTATATCAGATGCGGGTTCTGAGAGCAGCCATTACTGTGAGGGTGGAGTGCAGGGTATGTAATTAACAATTATGTTTGTCAGGTTTATGGAACAGAAAATTAATAACATGGAGACTGTAAAACAGTGAACAAAGCGGCAGATTCTGAATAAAGGTGGCTGGGCTATCACTTACGCTGTGGCAATCGGTATCTTTCTCTCTTGGAAGCAGAACATTGGATGCTTGTGATTTACTCACATTTTTTAAACACCTCTCACTCCGTGCCTAGGGCTATTTTCTCCAAAAGGCAATGTTTCTCAATCTGGGCTGCATATAAGAATCTTGGGGGAGCTTTAAAAAATCCTGTAACCAAGGCCCACCCCGGACCCAAACCTTTGGGCGTGGGACCCAGGCAAGAGTATTTTGGACAGCTCTGCAGGTGAAGTGATTCCAATGTGCTTGAAGACCATGTTAGTAAATGTTTAGTGTGATTGCTTTTTCTAGGAGAAGGTACAAAGTTAAAAGGAAAAGGAGGTGGTAAGAAGAGCAGAAAAGAATAACTGCATAGTAACTCAGTATTCACAGACTGCATTCACCCTGATGTATGAAAATCTGCAGAATTTGTCCACCAATAGGAGGTATTGTTAGGACCGAATGACCCTAATTCTAAGTAATTAACATGTAGTGTCCACGGGCTGATTCTTATTCTCTCCTGTACTAATTTATTCATTTATTTATTCTAAACAAGATGAATCTTCATCCTTATACATATCATTTACTTATGTCCATTTGTTGAATGTGCTTTTTATTTGCATACAATATATTTATTTGCATATTATATTTAGACACCTCTACTTCTAGGGAAAGCAGCTCTGAGAACTCTTGGACCTTCCCTGAAACTCCCTCCCTGGCCTCCCAGAAGCTGCAAATGTTTTAAGGTTTCTGAATGAAGCCCGGCATTCCCTTGCCATTCCCTTGCCAACCAAGGCAGAAAGAGGAAAGCACGGTCAGAGCGATAATCCTCAACTGGGAAACTGAAGCATGGATTCTTGGCCAGCCCTCATCCTAACTGCGCCTCACAGCACGCAAGCAGCGACAAGGATCTCAGAGGAGACTGAGAGCTTCTAAAGGCAAATTCGGTAGTTTTTGCACTGAGGTGTAGGGTGAGAAGCTGATTTTGTCTGTATACAGATATGTGCATGAATGCACACACACAGAGTCTAAACCTACCTCAGGATAAATAGTATTTCTTTTTTAAATATGTTTTTATTGATTTTTTTAGAGAAAGGAAGGAAGAGGGAGAGTGAGACACATTGATGAGAGAGAATCATCGATCCCTACCTCCTGTATGCCCCCAGTGGGGATTGAGCCAGCAACCCCAGCATGTGCCCTTACCAGAAATCCAACCAACAACTTCTCTGTGCATGAACAGACACTCAATCCACTGAGCTACACCAGCTGGGCTAAATAGTATTTCTTTATTGGTTTCCTTGAGTTTAAGAGGTCACCAAACTGGAGCAGATTGGAGGGTGAGGGGGTGAGTTTATTAGTCATTTATTTGCTCAATTTACCTGAGGTAAAATATGTATTTTGAAACTATTTTTCTGATATGCATTCATTGAGAAACTTTGAGTTTGACAACAGTAAACCATTTAAATATGTTTTCAAAGGCTACTTACTAAGTAATTGAGTGTTTCGCCTATTCTCTGGAATTTGAGCATCCCTGCACCTAAGAAAATGGGGAGAAATAAAGTTGTGTGGAAGTCAGCTTGTGTCCGGGATTTATATGCTGGAGCTATGTTTTATTTTTGTCTGTTTCCATTTTGACACAAACTACTCAAGACTAACTAGATAAACATTCGCTTTCTCCACCATAATCATACTTGGAGAAAACAGTGTATTTATTTATTCTAAACATGGTCAGTATGATTATCAAGGTTTCCTTTTACATTTGATCATATATGAAGTAACCACAGGGCTTTGATAACATTTATACTCTCTCAGGTCAGTTTTTCCCCCTGCATATTTTTCTACGAAGATTATTCAGATTTTTCTGTTATTAAATCAAAGGAATGAGGAAAAGTAATTATGCATGTGATTAAGAACACTAGAGAAAACCTACTAAAATATTAAAGCCTAGAAATTTAAAGTGGGTTAATTACATTTATCAGTGCAACTTATTTTTAATTTGCTTTGTCTGCTAAATTGCTGAACGATGGCTGTATCAGTGTAAGTAAATAATGAGAGTGTGGCCTTGCAGTGTTGAGGTACCTGTATTGACTTCAGAGAGATGGCCAGTAGCTGTGAAAGCATCAGCTTGGGAATGCTTGATGTGATTTATCCTGGTCTTGTAGAAATTATATCTAAACACCCACATTTTGCCGAAACCGGTTTGGCTCAGTGGTTAGAGCGTCGGACTGCGGACTGAAAGGTCCCAGGTTGATTCCGGTCAAGGGCATGTACCAGGGTTGCGGGCACATCCCCAGTAGGAGATGTGCAGGAGGCAGCTGATCGATGTTTCTCTCCCATCGATGTTTCTAACTCTCTATCTCTCTCCCTTTCTTTCTGTAAAAAATCAATAAAATATATTTTAAAAAAACCAAAATAAAAACACCACATTTTCAACCTGACCTTGAAGTTCCTATTCTTAGAATACTTAGATTTTTGGATCACATGAAGGATGGAGACTCTTTTTAACAAGTAGTTTCCATATAGTAAGAATTATTTTGAAAATTCTAAAAAAGAAATTTCTGAAATTTGAATTATAAGTGATTTCATTTTTACCTCATACAAAACATACATTTTTAAATGCTAAATTTACTTAATACGTTGACCAAGATCACAGTAAAATTTTTACAACAATCTCTGGGTAAGATAAAATTTAGGCAAGAGATGTGATTTATTTAAGAAATATACTTTTCAGTTCTTCATAATTCCATGAATTCATCAAGACTGCAGTTTTTATGTCAGCAAATCTTGCTATACAGAAAAGCGTTTTCAAAGATTAGCAACATATGAAGCAAAAACTAATTTTGAGGCCTTTCAGTTATGTTTCTGATGTTGACCAGGCTCTGCTTTTCTGTTTTCACAATTGCCTTTTGCTCAGGGGAGACAGGTGCAAACAAAAGCTCAGGAATCAGTAACCATAGCTTCCTTGGTTGAGTGTAGTGATTGAGGTAAATTTGGGATGTAATGGTTGGTAAGGAGCTGACTCCCTCCTACACAGAAGAGTCCTTGGTTCCAGGGCTGCACAGAGAGCCCCGCCTTCCCCATTAATGCTGGTTGCTCAGAGTTTGGTAGCATATCTCTTTTACAGAATCTTTCAGGGTGACTCTAGAGTCCCTGAGTCCCAGTTCCTCTGGAGATGAAAGGAGGTATTCCAAATCTGGAGATTGGTTCTTGTGGTTGGGGGGTTGGAAAGTTGAGGGGCATAGATGAAGCCCTGGCCAGGGCTGGATATGCACATGCAACCTCTTTTCTGTCTCTTTGGGCAATCCATGGAGCTGTACAAAGGCCCACCAAAGAGCTTACGGTAAAGAAGACCATGAGCAACATGCCACTCACCCACTGCAATAGCTGAGTGTAGCCACACAGATGTTTAAGCACCAGCGATGTGCATCTGTACCAGCTGCAGAGTCGGTGGTTCCCCATTACCATCCAGGGAGCGTGGTCTCTTAGAGTTAATGCATCAAGTGCAGAAATAGGTGGCACTCATCCCAAAATGAGTCCTGCAGGTGGGAAATGGAGAAATGGGGAAGCGAGGGGAGGGGAATTACTGGCAGGTACATTTCTGAAGAGGCCCTGAACCCTCATCTTTATACCCATCATTTACTTATGTCCATTTGTTGAATGTGCTTTTTATTTGCATACAAGCTGACTGCAGGGTGGCTGCTCTAACAAATGTATGCACACTTTGGAGCTTCATTATTACTGACATGATCGGTATAGAAAAAGTTCACTTGGGTTTGATATCCAAACACATTTTTCAAGGAATTTCAATATAGTAGATAATTTAAGAAAAAAAATCTATTAGATCCTACTAAAATCAAATGTAAATGACTGAAATATATATATATTATTTACTCATATGGAAGTATTTTTTAGACCATAAATGCCATAAATTTGAAGAAACTCTCATTGCAAACCCTTGACTAAGAATTATATATAGAGCCCTTTCAAGCTCAAACACTGGTATGAAAGGATATATTCATAGGAACTAATTCAAATTTCTCTTTAAATATTTTGATATTTTAGTAAAAGTTTTATTAAAAATAATTTACACCTTTCCTAATACTTTCCATTTTATTTCTTTTACCACAATTTTACAATATCCTAGCACATAAAATAATAGAATATTTTTAACCAAACCCCAAATAGATGTTCTCAAACTCCTTCCCATTTACCACAGGGTACGATGGAATACTATGCTGCTCTAAAAAGGAAGGAACTCTTACCATTTGCAACGGCATGGATGGAACTGGAGAGCATTATGCTAAGTGAAATAAGCCAGTCAATGAAAGAAAAATACCTGGGGAATAGGGGAGGCTAGGGGACTGTCTAGGGCGGGGGAAAAAAATGGACACATATGTAATACCCTTTGTAAAAAAAAAAAAATATCATTTTCTATGTGCTTCAATTAAAAAAAAAAGTTTGGGAAAACTTATTTGTAAAACTCCAAATATATGTTTCTGTGCTTAAAACATATATATATCTACCTGTCACTCTGCTGGTATCTATCTATCTATCTAGATGGCAAGAGTAAAATGATCTATTTTCTGCGTACTTTCTTTTCTCCCTTATTCACTCACAATAAGGCATGAATATGTATTTTCCCCTTCAAAGGGAAGTACAGAATGGAATATTCTTTATGATACAAGCTATATTAATGCCAATCTGATGAAAGAATGTCTCAACGGCCCCATGTGTGCATATTACAAGTTCTTCAAATATAGGCTGTAGGCAAATATAAAACCAAAAGCAATTTAAAAACAAGTCTAGCATTTTATGTTATTATTTTTTTTTACATTTTAGGTTAATTCTATGATGCTATAAAATCAACCAGAACAAAAGGAAAATGGGGATTATGAATGATCAATCCTCTGCATCCCAAACCCCCTACATCTATAATAAAAATACGTGTATGTACTTGTATGTGGTTAGTTACTCATTTCCTTCCTTCACGTATTTACTTATTCAAGTACATTTCTCTGAAGTCATCTGTCACTTGGGCAATAGGCTCCTGCTGTTTTAGATCCAAGACACATGAATACCTGCTAGGGCTCCTGGCACTCTGATGAGCTTGTAAGGCTATACGTGCCTCACAGTTAACAAAAATCTTTCTATTTTGAACTCTCTTTGTCACTGCCTTTGTTTTCCACAGAAGAAAACATGACAAGGTTTTAAAAATGCATTCTCTTACATCTTGCAATATGTATTTTTAAATCACCCCGACAGTTTTATTCCGCAGCATAGCAGCAATTGCTCAGCTCTCATGAACAACTCTATCCCAACAAAATCATTCAGGGAGGAAGGGGATTAGGGAAAAGGATTTCAGCTCCATGCTTCAGAGGGGCCATTGTAAATCATGGTACTGGAAGAGAAAAACAAATATAAAAATGATGAAATGTACTTTGATCGGAGTGTGTTTTTAATCACTATTTTCATAAGCAGGTGCAATTCTCAGAACTTTTCCTCGGTGGGGCTCTACTTCAGGAAGTTTGCATGCCAGCCTTTCTGTAGGATCAATGCCTACCCTCTCTTCCACTCATGACCATGCTTATCGCATTTCATAAGGGGCACTACCCAGTCTGGACTTTTTCAGGGGGCTCCTAACCTTTCCAAGATGGGGCTTCTCCCAACCTTCCTGCCGTGTGAAGGATTTGTTTGTGAGTGGATGTCAGCCTTGAAGCCGTGGGACTGCTTCCTGAATTGCTTAGAGCTAACTACGATTTACCAGCCTCTGAAGTGGCATTAAAGCAATGTTCATTTTTTAATGAGTATTAAATTTACTTTTAGCCAAACCCTCTAGCTGACAATGAAGTGTTCGCTGGGCTTGCTATTGGCTCTCTCTCTGCTAATTGCTCTGCTGCTGGTGATTACTCTATCTCTCTCTTTGGAGGCAGAGCTTAATATGTTTGAGTCTTGTACTTAATTTCAAAAGTAGGAACAGCAGTAAAACTCTCCAGATTTCAAGTCTCAGAGCAGGGTCTCTCCTCAATTATAAAACAAATCCACATGGTGTAGTGGAAAGAACACAGGCTGGGGTAGAAAATCCAGGTCTGAGTCCTGACCCTATCACTTCTGTAAGGAAATGGTAAACTACCACCTCCGGGCCAAATCTAACCCACAACTTTTTTTGTCTTAACTGCAAGCTAAGAGTGGAGTCTACATTTTTAAATAGTTAAGGGGGAACAAAGCAAAAGAACAATATTTCATGACTTGAAAATTATATAAAATTTAAATTTCAGGTCCATAAATAACATGACCCCAAATAGCCCCACTCTTCTTTACGCACAGTCTATGGATGCTTTCCTGCTACCTCTGCAGTTGAGTAGTTGCAACAACAGCCCTAGAGCCCACACAGCCTAAAATATTTACTATCTGTCCCTTTTAGAAAAAGCTTGTTTGTCCCTTATTCAAATAGTTGATTGATCACAGGCACATTAATTTACTCTCAGAGCTTCAATGGCTTCATCTATAGACAGGGATCAATAATGGTGGCGACATTAGAGATCTATTGTATAAAACAAATGAAGTCATTAATCTCTCAGCATTTACAAATCTCATTATTAGAGAAGTAAAACAGAATTACTGGTTATTAGTTGTTTCATTCCAATGATTGTACTTGTCCTTCTACCAATGTGACTGAATTTATTTTTAAGTAGATGATGTATAGTCTGTTTAATAAATTCATTTATAATAGTATAATTTAGAAATAGGCATTTTATAGAATTTATACAGATACTTAATGGATATCTATAATAAATCAGGTACTCGCTTCTGAAAATGGATGTTATAAAAATGCAAGTCTTTTATTCTCTCAAAATTTCTTCGGAAAAAAGTTCTCAAAGGCCTACATTCATGTATATTCTTTTCCTCTAGACTTTATTTATGATGCATCTATGTGTTCTTTCTAATTGTCCCCAGCTCACTAAATAAAGACAAGTAAATACACAGCCTTCAAACATATTTGGGCTCTGTCTACAACTGCATATAAAATAAAGGGAACAGTCAAGGTATTTATACTACTCATCAAACTTAAATTATGTTTGCCTTTATTATAAAGTTTAATAATTTAGAAGATTGTTTAAAGTTTTCCACCTCAAATTTTATCTTCCAAACAGGTTTTGGGATAAAAACCCAATAAAGATTTCTCTTCTGGTAGGATGAAGGCATTTGCCATGCTGCTAATGAAGGGAGAAATAGAGAAAATGCATTTGGTTCTTTCCTGATTCTTGTCCAAAAGCAATTGCCTCCTGCTGCAGCCTGTTCTTAGTGTTCAAACAGCGCTGGTCCAGGTCCAAACCTTCCGTCTATTTTGATCTAGGAGAGCTAACTTCTTTGATGTGTATCAGTGGCTCCTAAAGCGCTGTGCCCGGTTTAATCAAAGGTACATAGCTTCAGCAAAAATAAATGACGAGAAATGATCACAGTGCTGCACGCAGGGTTTTTCAATAGCCTCCAGACTTCGCTGGGTTGGACCCTCTCCTTACAGGACAAATGCAGGAACCCTAGAGGGTCTCTGTCCGATGAAATAATTGCAGAAAAACACAACAAAGGGAAGCAGGGCAATATTTGCAAACCCTCAGATTTCACTGTGCAACCGATATTCCTCTGGCTGTAGCGGCCGAGGACCAACAGGGCACTGCAGGATGCTATCTGTAAGTGTGCGAGCCAGGGGTGACTCAGAGCGCCAGGATCTCTCAGGGTCGCTGCAAAGAGTGTGCTAGATAAGCATGTTCATGCTGACGTGGCAGATCCTAAGGCCCTGGCCAAGCAGTTGGTCAATTCAGGGCCCTTTCCCCCCACATCCAAGCACAGGATGGTGATATGTCTTCAGATGACCCATAGCACAAAGAGCAAGGAGGCCTTTTCAGGTTTCTGCAGATTCTGTCACAACTGTACTGTTTTCCAAACAGTTTGGATCATTCACCTTTAAAACTGTTTTAGGCATACATGCATATACAAGGGTATTACTTTCATTTCACATAAAGCCTATAATAGAATAGTATATTAAATTTTAACTTACAAGAAAAATATCTAATTCTTTCTTTCTTTCTTTCTTTCTTTTCCTCAATGTAACCTTTTTGGCCTGTCTAGAGTCTGCATATTCTATTTAGAGACCACTGGCATATTATCTAGAAAGGTTAGGGTTATTTGCTGGTAAGTCCTTCAAAATATTGAAAATCCGAAGTCACAAGATTCTTGCATTATTTTAGGCTATGATTGAAAAAGATCCTATTTGACCCCTCTATCGGCCCTTATGTTGTTAATCACTCTTGTACATTTCTATTTTCTCTCTCTTCCCAAGAGGAAATCACCTTCCTCTGGTCTTAACGACCACATATCGTTAAATACCATAGTGTTTTGACAATTACAAAAGGTTTATCTCCAGACTGAACCACTCCCTTCAATTGTAGATTTACATATTCCCTTTAACTTAATGTGTCTAAAGCCAAATTCCTTCTCTCCCCCTTCCTCCCACAAATGTGTCCTCCCTTAGTCCTCTTCATCTCAGCAAATGCAACACCATTTTACCAAATGTTCAGTCTAAAGGCGGATTCACCTTTAATTTTCTATTTTCTCTCATCCCCTTCATCAACAAATCCTATTGTTTGGACCTTCAGAAGATAAGCAAATGCTTTACATCACCTTCACCACTGACTCTACTCTAAACCACCATAATTTCTTGAATAGATTATTGCAACAGCCTCATACTGATCCTCTATACCCTGCTATAACTTTTCTTCACACAAGATTTCAGGATGGACTGTTTAAAACTTAAGCTAGGTCTGTTCCTATGACAATGGAGATAAACACATTTTGATGTAGATCCCTTTCACCTGTAGTCAGTGTACACCTATGCATTAATTCATTTAGATACATTTTTTGGAGGCACTATTATGCTCCAAGTTCTGCTCTTGGCACTAGGAATGCAGCAATGCATAAAACAAAAATTCGTGACATCATAAAGCTTACATTCTAGATGAGGGAAACAGAAAATAAATAATTAAAATGTGCAGTTTATCAGATGATGAGAGGAAAAAAAGGAGGAAAAGGACATGGGAGAAATGGATTTTAAATGGGTGATCAGGAAGACTCACTGAGACAGGACATTTGAGCCAAGACAGGAGAGAAGTAACGAAGGAAGAATATTGACTATCTGGCAGAAGAGCAAGTGCAAAGGTCCGGAGGTAGCCATTTGGCTAGTAAATTCTAGGAATAGCAAGAGTCTGGTGCAGAGAAAACTGAGAGTGTACAAGGTGAGATCCAAAAGGCAAAATGATTGAGATTCCTTTTCTTTTTCTCTCAATGAGATGGGAAGTCATTATAAAGTGTGAATAAACTCCCCTTACCTTTTGCTCTTACCTAGTACGATGTTTTGGTTTGGTTTTTCTTAGGACAGAAAAGGTAAACATAAATCACATTCGTTGCAAGAAAGGGGAGAGAATATTGGTTTTCAGAAATTGTCTTCTGCCAGCTTATTTTTTTAAATGTCTTGAAAGGTTTATTTTTGTTCTTTATACCATTTTTAGTATTACAAAATGTGAGCTATGAAATGCACGCAGTTGGCGGCGGTAGAGGGGGTCGCAGAAAGAAAGGATATAGTGAGTCTCCCAGGATAAGAAAAGAATAAAAAGCCTCGATTGCAGCTCTTCCTACTGTATTCTTCATCACAGAAAAGATGAACTGCTTGCGCAGTGGCACCCAGCCAATCTCTAACTAGAATCAATTGCTGTGCCAACAAGGAACACAAAAGATGCTCATTGTTTGCAAACCGCGTTCCTGCAGAGGCACCTTTTCTCCAGGCAGGCAAAGCGGAGATCAAGACAATTCCTTCTGCTGCTGCTTTCTGCTGTGTTCTCTTCTGCTGGTGTTCAGAAGCCCTTCTGGAATTAGGCGAATCTGAAATCTAATCCCAGAGGGTGAGGAGACTTTCACTTCACAGCTTGATCTCTTCATTACAGCTGTGTGGCCGCAGCAGGCGATTGTTCTGGAAGACAGTGGCCAACGTTATAATTATCTACATAAAACAATTCACTGGGTACTCTTTGTTTTTGAAGTGTTTTTATTTGTATACAGTCTTTTTACCACTATGTGGTCAGATTTAGAGAATGGGGCAGGTAGCTCACAGAATACAATTCTGGGAGGGGAAAGGAGAAAGAAAATTCTCCATCTCCAATCCTCTTTCTTTCCTCCTTCACTAGCCACGAGGGTTAAGGTGAAAGTTAAATTGGAAACAGCATCAGGAATGATATAGTTTCTTTCTCTCTCTCTCCTCTCTCCTCTCTCCCTCACCATTTCAACAAGTATTCACCATGCTCACTCTCTCCAGCCCTTGTCCTTTTTCTACAGATTATTTAAATTCCCTTCTTTCTCTAATTTGCAGCCCTTCATCAGGGTTTTCATCACTTCTGCATCCAGGTTTTAGGGTCTCAACAGCCTTCTAGCTCCTCAGTACTAACAGTTCCATCATCCACAAGGCAAACAGGCATTTGTATATTATCCTGGGAATCTCTCAAACATTTACAACATTGTTTCTACGGCAAAATTGTATTCTTGGTGCCAAACTGCTTACTCAAACTTTTAGAACTGCGGATTTGCAACCTTTTTCATCTCATGGCACACATTAACTAATTACTAAAATTCTGCAGCACATAAAAAATATACTATATTTTTTGCCAATTTGACAAAAAAAATTAGGTATAACTTTGATCCATTCACACCAGACAGCTATTGTTTTGTTTACCATCGTTATTTTTTTATTTGTCAATCTAATGGAAAAGAGATTGTCCATGTCCCTGACTAAATAGTCAGGTATTGAATGTTTCAAAAATTCTTGAGGCACACCATTGTGCTATGGCATACCCGTTGAAAATCACCGTTTTAGGGTATAGCCAGTTTAGAATTTGGAGATATGCCTTATATATTCAAAGGAACCACATAAAAGAACTGGATATTCAGTGTTAAAATTGCAAAGATGCATATAAATCACTGGAAAAATAACATCAAGCTCCAAAGAGGAATTTTAAACCAATGATCATTTTATTACTGGTACTAATGCCTAAAATTAAAATTTATTTAGTGAGCTAAAAAGGGATTTTGTTTAGATGTCAGATATGGGTTTAGGTAACTAAAATATTCATTGTGGAGATTTGACTATTCTTTTCTTTCTTTTTTTGCATGTTTTGAGATGAGACATAATTATCTGCTGAAACCTGGAGTGTAATTATAATAGTTTCCAGAAGGAATTCTGAAGCAATAAAAACTTCTTTAAATGGGAGGAAGGGACTGTTTCATTGGCAAGTAAAAAGACATTCATATTATACTAAAATAAAATATATTTAATATGGATATCATTTATTAGAATGAACCTTTGGAAATACGCTATAATTTAGTATCTGGGCTAGTATAACTGGTCCAAAAGTTTAGGTAACTAAGATGCTTTTCAAAACACTATACAATGATTTGCAAAGTGAAACTTTAAAGCACTTTAATTTTCTCATTACATTATGTTTTATACTTTCAATATTGAATGTATTTAATTAAATTTGCATTTTTGAGGGTGAAAGATAATAAAAAATTATCATGAAATTTTCTGCCAATGAATATAAACACTAACAAAATATGTCTAGGTGCCATTTTTGTTTCTTTGTTTATTTATTAATGTGCCTAACTCCTTATTATACATTTTTCACTTCACTATCCCACGGGCAACTTAAACTCAAACTCGCTGAGACAGAGGAACCCGTCATAACCTTCTTAACTCCTACTGTGCATGCTGTGCCTGCCACCTTCTTCCTCCTGTGCTTGCTTCAAACACCAGGCAGTCACTCCTCCCTTTGTTGTTTAATCTCACATCCAATCACATTTGCCGCCTCCTCCTAATATCCCCTCCCACTGTCTTCATTTGAGCCCTCATCACTTCTTACCTGTTTCATTCTGATGGCTTACCTACTGTCTTCGTCTCTAGCCTTGATCCTCTCTGCCCGTGCTAAACACAGCTGCTAGAGTGATATTTCTAAAGAAATCATATCACATTACTCCCTGCTTAAAATTCTTCATCCCTAACTCCTCTTTAGGGTAAAATTCAAACTACTTAACATGTTTATAAAACTCTGAGACATGTGAACTTGTATTCTGCCTCATGTTTTAGCAGCTCATAATTTATAGTTGCATTTTCTGATGGAGTAGCCACTAGCCATAGATGTCTGCTTAACTGTATTTTTAAATGACTTAAAACTGATTGAATAAAATTTAAAATGTCATCCCTCAGTCACACTTGCCACATTTCAAGGGATTAATGGTCACATGTGGCTAGAGGCAGTCAAATGGTGAGAGGAGAATATGAACACCCCCACTGATACTGAAGGTTCCATCAGACAGCACTGGCTCCAGTTCAATCAGATAGCCAATGAATCTCTTTAGGAGTTCTCCAGCCATACACACTTTCCTCGCTTGCATATCATTGCTTATATTCTCCCCTCTCTTCATTGTCCTAATTATCTTTTTCTTAGCTAACTCCTACTCAACTTTTCCTAATTCCCATCCCACCCTAGAGTAGGATCATTTTTCTGACTGGCTTATTTTACTTAGCATGATGCTCTCCAGGTCCATCCATGCTGTTGCAAAAGGTAAAAGTTCCTTTTATTTTTTATAGCAGAGTAGTAGTCCATTGTATAGATGTACCACTGTTTTTTATTTTTTGAGGAAACTCCATACTGCTCTCCACAGTGGCTGCACCAGTCTGCATTCCCACCAGCAGTGTATGAGGATTCCTTTTTCTCCACATCCTCACCAGCACTTGTCATTAGTTGATTTGCTGATGATAGCCATTCTGACAGGTCTGAGATGGTACCTCATTGCCGTTTTGATTTGCATCTCTCAGATGATTAGTGACTTTGAGCATGTTTTCATATGTCTCTTGTCCTTCTGTATGTCCTCTTTTAGGAAGTGTCTATTTAGGTCCTTTGCTTATTTTTTGATTGGGTTGTTTACATTCTTTTTGTTAAATTGCATGAGTTCCCTGTAAATTTTGGAGATTAAAACCTTATCAGAGATAACATTGGCATATATGTTCTCCCAGGCTGTGGGTTTTCTTGCTGTTTTGTTGATGGTTTCTTTTGCTGTGCAAAAGGTTTTTAGTTTCATATAGTCCCATTTGTTTATTTTCTCCTTAGTTTTCATTGCCCTAGGAGCTATATTAGTAAAAATATTGCTTTGACATATGTCTGATATTTTGCTGCCTATGGTTTCCTCTAAGATTTTTATGGTTTCCTATCTTGCATTTAAATCCTTTATCCATTTTGAGTTTATTTTTGTGTGTGGTGTAAGTTGGTGGTCTAGTTTTATTTTTTCCATGTATCTGTCCAATTTTCTCCACACTATTTATTGAGAAAAGACTATCTTGACTCCATTGTATGCTCTTGCCTCCTTTGTCAAATATTGAGCATACTGGCTTGGGTCAATTTCTGGGTTCTCTGTTCTGTTCCATTGGTCTATATGTCTGTTCTTGTGCTAGTATCAGGCAGTTTTGAAGACAGTGGTTTTGTATTATAGCTTGATATCTGGTATTGAGATCCCTCCTACTTTGTTCTTCTTTCTCAGCATTGCTATGGTTATTCAGGGTCTTTTTTATTCCATACTAGAGGCTCAGTGCATGAAATTCATGCACAGGTAGGGTCCCTAGGCCTGGCCAGTGATCAGGGCCTTTTGGGGACTTCCAGCTGTTGGCTGGTGCCATCCTTTCCCTGGCAGATGGCTGCCGGCTGCTGGCTGGGGCCTCCCTTCCCCCAGCTGCTGGCTGCAGCTGGGGCCTTCCTTTGTTCCACACCATCCTTTAGTGGTCAGCACAGGTCACAGTGAGCAGTAGAACTCCTGATTGGTTGAACTCCCAAGGGGACAATTGGTGTATTAGCCTTGTATTATATAGGATGAATTTTTGGAGAATTTGTTCTAGGTCTGTGAAATATTCCATTGGTATCTTAATGGGGATTGCATTGAATCTATAGAGTGCTTTGGCTAGTATGGACATTTTAATGATGTTGATTCTACCAATCCATGAACATGGTATATTCTTCCATTTGTTTATGTCTTCCTCCATCTCTCTTTTATGCATCCTTTAATTTTCTGAGTATAAGTCCTTTACCTTGTTGGTTAAATTTATTCCTAGGTATCTTAATTTTTTGTTGCAAAGGTAAATGAGGTTGCTGTTTTAGTTTCTCTTCCTGAGTGTTTATTACTGGTGTATAAAAATTTCATA